TTTTCGACGTAATAGAAGCCCCTGGGCTTCTAATACACCTTCCACATCCATTGCTCCAGAGGGGGCTTCTAATACGGGAGGGCTTCTAATATGGGGGAGGCTTCTATTATGGGGGGGGGTTTATAATGTATTCTTTCATTTTGACTTTAATTTCGAGTATCAATTTGTTTGATCACAAAATTTTCCGTCATGTCTCAATTACACACAACAGATCGTCCGTTTTATACTGAGAGAAACGCTGGGCAAGATCTGACTCCAGCGCTCATCAATTTACAATGAGTGCTATGAATAAGCATGCGAGAACAATATTTTTCTTTTGTGAAAAATTAAAATAAACCATCCATTTTTGTGATATTAGGCAAAATATGTATGGGTGAGGTGAAGATCAGGCTAACAAAGATCCTCAGAATGGTCAAGGAAAATATAAATGAAGTCATATTTACTAGAGGGATAGGATATGTTGAAAACACAATTTAAATTTTATAGAATTATTAAGTAGGCCAGGCGGACATTTGCTATAGAATAAGTGTGAAAGTCTATAAAGGCCTTTTTTATAGGTTTTCAGATATGCTATTTCCAATGGTGTGTTTTACAAAGTTCAAAGAGACTTTCAGTTGGGTTCTCCAGAGACCTGGTCACTAACAACCCACACATAAGTATTTTGAAACTTTGTAAAACACACCATTGGAATAGCATATCTGAAAACCTATAAAAAAGGCCTTTATAGACTTTCACACTTATTCTATAGCAAATGTCAAAATCCTTAGCCAGAATTGTGACTCTATGCTTCGACTTTAGCGTTTCGTTAGATCCAATAAGTTTTTGCTCAGAAAAACCTACTATTTGCACATCATTCGATGCAGTTTTTTTTGCGCTAATTCCAAATATCTCCTTCGTTTTCAATATAAATGCTTCTGAACTGAGAAAATTACAAAATACCTCAGAGATCGAAGGGTTTTTGAAAAATCCATACAGATGCACTCCGTATGACGCAAGAATGAATGAAAGCTAAGGACTCACAGTTTTCGTCATTCAAACGAGAAATAAAATAAAAAATAAAATGCAAGATACATGCTGAAAAATTTTGTGATCAAAAGTGCCTTCCTCTTTTTCCAACGTAATCTGAAGTATAATTTTCAATACTGATTTCAATAATTGACATTGTGTCAAATTTTAATTGCTGAGATATTGCATTCTGTTTTAATTGTTTATCTTTTTCTCTAAAAATAAGCAAAAACATCAGTTCAAATATCGAAAAGACAACGCTACAGTATTTTCATTTACTCTCTTCATGTTTTAATTCTTTTATTCAGGATCGTTTATTATTATTGCATTGTAATGAATCGTTTCATGGCAATGATTCACGTCAAAAACAATTTCAAGAATATTATAATACACTAGGAAATATTAAACGTATCACGGAATTATGGGCACAAACACAAAATAAATGGATATTTCTCAGAAGTGCATTAGCCAATTTAACAATTAATGAGAATGATCGACAAATGAAACAATTGCAAATAAATTTTCTCGATATGGATGAAAATTTTAGAGTAAGAAACGTGAAGGTTTAAAATATAGCATAGATATCAACTATTTTTTTGATTATAGCATTTTCAAAAAATGGTTTTTCAAAGTCCTTCTGTAGCCGCATTAGCTAAAGTTGAAAATAACAGACAAAATTTTGAAAAATGGTTAGCCATTGCGGTAAGAAACTGTTGCGTACTATAGTTGCATTTGAATGCTGTGTTTTACGAGAGAATTCACCCAAGTGTCTGCTCACGTTTACCTTGAAATTGACTGTAAGTTACTCTTTGATACTAATCACGAATATACTGTGCATTTCAATCGAGACAGCTTTTCGATATAAATGTCTGAGAAACTAATCTTTGTTTCATAGAGTGAACTTTCAAAGGTTAGTTTCTCGGACATTTACATAGAAAACCCGCCTCGATTGAAATGAACAATATATTCGTGATTAGTATCAAAGAGTAACTTACAACCAAATAGACTTCGAGGGAAAAATGTGCGAATTTTTGTCAATGTTTCTTCGATAGATGTAAATTATTCAACTTTCTAGTTATCGTTTTTAAATTTTAGTGTGATTTAGTTTATCAATTGGAATTTTATCTTGTTGAGCAATATCGTCAACAATTTGGTCGCTTTTATTTTCTCACAAATTCTAATTTAATTGATTTGATTGCATGTGGTCAAGATCCTCGACTGTACGTGCCTTATGTTAGACAATTGTTCAATGGAATTCAAAATATGGAATTTTATCTACCTGAAGAAGCAATTAGTGGTGGACAAATCAATTCGGCAACAATGGATGTTTATGGTAAGTAAAATAATATTTTTTCTTAACAGTAAACGGACAATAACGTACAGTTTTATTTAGAGATGTTCGGTTCTCAGTTCTCTTATTTTTGATTCTTTATCGAGAATTAGAACCGCGCTAACGGTTCGCAGAATGGAATCGGAACCGCGAATTCTTAGACGCTTCCTTTTTTTGGAACAGAGACTTTTTGGTTGCCTTTCCTTTAAAAAAAATGAGAACACACTCTTGACAAAGCTACAAAACGATATATTTGCCTGTCATCATTTAAAAGAATCCTTTCGTTTACTATAAAATGATGTCTATTTCGTTGAATTATTACTGCCTGAAAAATTATGTTCCGGTTCTAAGCTGAGAACCGCTGTTCTGTTCTAACCAAGAGGACCTCTCGAGGTGATAAAACGCTTTTTGCTCGGCATCTAGTGAGTTACAGGCTATTGACCATGCTGATTACGAATACGGATATGAGAGCTGCTCTTAGGACTTCGAAGATCCATTTTTCTGGAAAACCAGCTTTTTAGAAATTCTAAAAAATAACCAGAACCTTTCTTAATGAGCTATGCGGATAGCCCGCACATTTCTTATTAAAATGAGACCTCTCCCATCTACACGACCTTTCTTTGCAAAGTTATAGAATTTACAAAGCCCTAAATGTTGATTGTCAGCTCAAAGCTACAGAAATAAGAAGGAAACAATTAATTTAGAGCTTTTCTTGTAAATTCTATAAATTTGCAAAGAAAGATCATGTAAAGTTGGGGGCGGTCTCATTTTAATTTGTGGGCTACAATAATGTCTCATTAAGACAAGTTCTGGTTATTTTTTAGAGTTTCTGAAAAACTAGTTTTCTAGAAAATCGGACCTTTGAAGGGCTAAGGGTCACCCCCATGGCTATATTCGTAATCAGCATGGTCGATAACCTATAATCCACTAGATTCCGAGCAAAAAGCGTTTTATCAGCTTGAGAGGTCCCCTCGTAAGTTCGGAACCAGAATCGCGGCTCCTTTCGTTTCTGTTCTAACTCGAGAACCGAACATCCCTAGTTTTGTTGATGTGCACCTTCATACAATAGTTGATAATGTTTTTGTTAAATTTGTTCATATTTTCTCCATTTTAGCTTATCGTTTGGAAGCATCATCTGTCTCAAATAATCATGATGAAAAATTACAATTATATCAACATTTAAAACTCATTTCACCACCTGTCAGCTCAGACACAGTTCAAAGTAGTCAGTTGATAAGTAGTCACAGTCTATGTGCATGGTTTCAATCATTAGAACAATTAACAAAAATATCACTAGCAAAACAATTTCGACAATTATTAGTAGAAAAATTACAAAAACGATCCGATTTAATATTAAAAACCCGATATAAAATAGAATCAAAACAAAAAACGACAGAACTCTCTTCTACTGATCAATATTCAATACAAATTGTTAATCTGGTAGAAAATGTTATTTTTAGTATTGAATTAGCAAGTATAATGAAACAAAAAAATATAAAAATATTAATGAAATCATTAAGGTACAATTTTAAATAAAATGAAAATAAAATATTTGTTCTCAATGTTGTTGGATAATTTTTCCATTTTGTCTAGAAAATCCATTGAAAATTCAATTAAAGAACGAAGTCCAATACTTCAACTAAATAAAAATGTAAAAGATTATTACCAAAATATGGCATTTATCATGCAAAAACTTTATAATCGTGATATTATTATGAGTAAGTTGCAAGTTATACACACACACATACTAACAGTACGATTGTTTGATATACATATTTCATAGGATTGTGTGATATCGATCATTTATCACACGATAGTTTTGAATGGTTAACTCTATTACGATATGAAATTAATTTTGAAAATTTCTCGCCTTATGATGATGAAAGATTTTTGTCAAGACTTTCAACTAAACATCTACATTTAGTGCAATATGTGAATAAAATACCCTATGATTTTGAATATCTCGGTAAAAAATAAATGATAAATTGAATTAAAAATAATATTAAATAAATTGTTGTATTATATTTTAGATTTATCAACAAATTTTGTTATTTCACCAGTAGTAGAGCGTACAATGTTTCATTTAATTCAGTCAATGCAGTCATATCAAATTGGTGTATTACAATCTGAACCACAAATTGGACGAACATCTACCGTACACGTATTAGCTCAAGTAATTAATTAATTATTGATTCTAACTATTTATTAGAAATAATATTTATTTTTCTTATTTAAGATGTGTGGTATTAATTGTACAAATTTTTATTGTAATGAATTAAGTCAAATTGATCAAATAAAATATTTTTTCTATGGAATATTAAAATCAACCAATTGGATATTATTAGAAAATATGCAAAGATTAACTTATGGTTAATATTTCGTATATTTTATAAATTGATTTTTTATTTTTCTTCTACATTTAAATGTATTTCTATTCTGTTTAGAATGTTTATCAATATTAGCCATACAAATTAAACATCTTAAATCTCTATTTGAGAATAATAATCCGATAATAAATATTAATTCTCATGAAAAACGTTATCGACGTCAATCACAATCTGATTCTACTATTGATAAAACAAAATCATTTGTAAGTGAAAAACTAATTTGATCTGAATAAATCTATCATCAATTTATTTGTGTAAATATAGAATAAATATCATTCATTTGATTTACCTCTATCAAAATATGATATAACAACAGATTCACGTAAAATAGTTTTCAATTTTTATTCATAATTAATAATCTCAATTAAAATTATTTATTTTTATGAATATTTTTAGAATTAAATCAATTTTATGAGCGAACATATGCTAATGGTCATTTATCGATAAATCGTGAAATTATTAAAATACCATTAACAATTGGAATATTTGCAACATCCTACTATACACCGTTAACATCAAATATCAAGGTATATGGGCAACTCTAGTGTGACTATCATACATCTTTGTGCCACTAGAGACTTTTAACGAACTGATGTATATTTCGAAATTTTTAGTTGATTTTCATTTTTGGTGAAAATTTTGATAATTTCAACGTGAAAATTCGACAAAAACTAAATTAATCAGATAGGATAGAAACACATATCAGTTCTGATGGAGAAAATTGAGAATTAGGAGTAGAATTTTGACTTTTTCGGCTCTGATTTAGAAGAAATGAACTTTTTCAGCACCGGAAACGAATCTCAAAAAAAGAATGCTTAACTTTTATCAGTGCGACGTGGCAAATCTAACCAAGACAAAATATTGGCTCTATCCCGCTTTAAAAAGGACTTGAATCTTTTGGCACGAAAAACAAGTGATTTTCGAGTTTCGAGATATCGAAAAAATCCTCAAGTATCACACATCCGGATGATAGTTGAATGATCAGCAACTAGGTTTTTAGATTCAGTTTTCCAGGTAGATTAAGAAAACAAAACATGCAAAAGTCGAGCACGAATTGTTTAGACAATGTAGGCCGTTTTCCGTAAATTAGACGGTTCCTCGAACCTTCAAGTTTTACAGGTTTTTTGAGTTTTTGACCACTAAAAATGCTTTTTTTTTGCGTTCAAATCATACAAGTTCGGATTCAACACAGCAAGCTCTATCCAACCATGTATAGGAATCGAAAAAAGAAAAAGCGCTCAACTAAAAAATTGAAAATTATAAGTATTTATTAAGGCTATTTTTCATATGAAAAACTACGCCGTGACAAAAAAAAAGGACAAAAGTTTCCGTGCATGTGATTCTCTCCTAAAAATCTGCTGATTCCTTTACCATTTTTTAAATTTCAGTCGTGCATTTTGTAGACGATAGTTCAAGCTACAAAAATTAGTAGGCAGACTTTATTTTTTTGCAACTTTTGGAGACCTCATTTTTTCTTCGTTGCGAACGTGCTAGAATGCTCCTTGACTTTTTCTGTCATAAGGTAGAAATTTATTCGCTAATTAACTAATTAGCTAATAAACTTTAATTTAGTGTGAACTTAAAGATCCAACATTTTTACATCTATTCATAGTAAAAAAAACTTGTTGAAAAAAAATAACTCTTGTAACGAATCAAAGATAAATAAAAGATAGATATATTGATGTTCCATATTGATTAGAATGATCCATATAGAAAAATCATTCTTATAATTTATACAATATTCTATTTTCAGTTTGAATGTCGAACAATTTCCATAACATTACCCGATACTCAACATCTTATTGAAACATTATTATATTCAAATGGATTATTTGATATTAATCAAACAAATGAATGTAAAAAATTGGCAACAAATTTAACAGCCACTATTGATTATATTCAATTATTAGTAAGATATATGAATTATTATTTGTTTTTTAATTATTAATTAAAGAATAGAAATTAAATGTAAATAATATTTTTAGTTTGATAAAATTAAAAATCATTATTCACCATTTATTTTATTGAAAGAAATAATTAGTCAAACAATAATTTTATTATCAAAAAATACAAATTCAATTGATCAAAATTTATTTCAAGCTATTATTCATACAATGAAACATTATGATTATATATCGTCTATGAATGATTTTCTAATAATTAAAGATGTTATAAATAAATTTTTAAAATCATCATCTACTCAAACTTATACGAAACAAGATATAATTGAGGAATTTATAACAAATCTTCAACAGCAAGCAATTGATGATAAAATTAATTGTGATGATAAAATGTTAAATGATGTTAGTATAAAGATATTGTTTAAGAATAAATGAGTTAATTATTCTATATTTTAGGCATCAATATTAATGTCATCATTAAAATATTCAAATTTAATTTTTCTAACAGGTCAAGCTGGTTCAGGCAAGAGTACACTTTTAAGATTAGTTGAACGAACAGTAAATAAAATATTAGCATCACAAAACGTACGTATTAAAGAAATATTTGATTTATATGTTTTTTAATAGTTTAAGTTTTTAGAATGAAAATTTATATATTCTCAATTTTTTTTTTTTTTTCGTTCTAATTCAAAATTAAAATTTAAACTAAATTGAATGAATTTAAATTCATCTCAGAATATATTGAAAATTTTTATTAGATAGCATTAGAGAATGAATCTCTAGTTTACATATGTATAGGATTTAATGATGGTTGATTTCATGAATATGGTACTTTACTTTGTTGCGCCTAAAGTAAGATGATAATATTAAATTGAGTCAAAATATATATCTTGATTTTGATGCATGTTTCTCAATTAATTTGAAATAACGATGTAATTATCTCTCATATATATTGAACAGATGACTGTTTTTTTATTAACAAAACTCGTATTTATTTAAATTTATTTATCCGATCATTTGACGTAACTCAATTGAAAATAAAATATCGACACTTTTTTCCCTATATTTTCTTAATTTTATATCTTTTGAACAGAAGAACATTCATAGTCTGTCTGTATGTTTGACAAGTTAAGACGTTTTTACCGAGCTCTTCAAAACTCTTCATTATGAAGATAAATATTTTTAAGAATAATGTTGAATATTTTGGCAAGATTTTCTTAACAAAGATCATTGACATGTCTCATCTTGTTAAATATACTTTTCTTCTACAAAATAGGACAGTTGTAAGTATCAAACATCCTTTTTTTTGCGAAAAATATACAGAGTAGACAATAGCGTAAAAAGAAAGTGTCGGAATTACGTTTTCAATCGAATTACTTGAAAATGGCTGTTATGTTACTTCTTGTTGTGAGAAATTATTCGAAAATCGAAAAGTTACATTCAATTCCTTTGAGTTCACATATATTTCAAATATAATATTATAGGATTTATTCTCGGATTTCGAAGAAGAAGTAAGTCGTACGCATATTCAGTGCTTTAGAAAAAAAAAGAAGACACCTCTTCCCTCAAATTGTCTAAGTACAATTAACTTCTTTATTTTTCAACTAATAAACTAATTTGTTTTATATTTATATCATCTTCTTTTATCTGCATCCTCTCTTTTCTTAGATGCATGATTTTTAGTAAAAAAAAAACAAACAAAGACAAACAAACAACAAATATTTGAGTAATGAATGTTTTTTGTGTTTCATATAGGTTGAAAATGCTTCTTCTTCTCAATCATCATCTGCAGTGGATAATACTTCATCATCAATGACACCTCAGGTTACAACAATGAAAATTTATCCAAATTCCTATGCACGCAACGAAGTATGTTACATGTTAATATCTAGATTAATCCATATTGATGAAAATAAAAAAAGTTTTTTTTATTATAGTTATTTGGTATTGATAATACAATTAGTAATCAATTATTATATAACTGGACCAAATCAAATTTAACAAAACAATCATCAAATGAGCGAATAGATGATGTTAGTAACTTTCTTCAAACGTTTTGTTTTTTCAGAGATGCGAGAAGGTACAAAGTTTATCCCGAGATGCTTTCAGCAATGAAAAAGTTATACTGATAGATGACTGAATATGTCTTCTATTCACTTTACTTCCTTTAGTCGCTTTGTAAGGTAACAGTAGTCAGTAACAATTTGACTTTATATATGTTAGGTACAAATGTACACATTTTTTCGATACAGACACACGCCCAAAGTTATGTGTGTGCTCGTGAATAGCTGGGTGAGAGTGAGCTCGAAAAGTATTTCCGTTCTAAAGGATCATCAATTCCGTAGAAAAGCAAAGGAAGTAAGAGACTGACGAGAGAATCTTCATGTGCCCATCTCCCTTTCCAATGATTTATATCTCGATTGATAGAGGATATAGAGCTAGTAAAAACTCTAAAAGGTTATTGACGTATGGGACTTTGCTCAAAAGTTATAGCGGTTTTCTGGAAGGAAACACGGAAAAATCAAAAAGTTCACAACTTTGTGGCATAAAATCATTAAGTCTTTACAAAAATTGTTTAAACTTTCAAAACTGAGATGATTTCAAGTCCTCTTCCTATTTTAAAAAGCAAAAAATCAGTTATAAGCAGTTCGTGAGTTACAGGATTTTCAGAAACCTTCATGAAAACTGGAGTTACAGAAAATAAAAATTCTTTAATTTTGCCTATTAAAGCTTGTAGACCAATTGAAATTATCTCAGTTTTGAAAGGTTGAACAATTTTGGTAAAGAATTAACGATTTTATGCCCTTTCATTGTGAGCTTAGCTAAGGGCAAATCTATGGAAAACTTAAAAATTCAATTATTCGGGAACAAAATAAGCCGGAAAGCTCAAACTTTCTTGGAATATGAGAGACATATAGGAGAGCCAGAAAAAAAATGTCGAGCTTTTCACTCCTTTATTCGACAGAGTTGGTGAACTTTTTGATTTTTCTGTATTTCCTTCGGAAAAACAGAATACCGCTATAAATTTTGGGCAAAGTCCCATGGGTCAACAACCTTTTAGAGGTTTTACCAGCTCTATATTCTCTCTCCCTCGTGAGTATAACGTTTTCATAGCTAAAAACATCTCGAAACAAACTTTGTACTCCCAGTCTTTTTGTTTTTTCATCTCGTTCTTATTCTCTACATTGTTAACTGTAATTTTTAGACTAATGATAATAACTTACAACAAAAATGGTTAATACTTGATGTAAATTCTCGTGAAAATAATTGGTTTACATCGGATATGATTAATTCTCTCTATGATTCAATAACAACGAATAGGAGCATAGGTAAAAAAGAGATATTTGTTCAACTCAATCTATAAAAATAATTTTTAAAATATATATTTTTATTAATAGAAAATCTTAAAATTCTCGTCGAATCTGATACACTCTTAAATGATTCTCCATCAATAATTGGAAGAGCATTTATTCTTCATTGTGAACCGGTAAATTATCAAGTAATAATTCAAGCTACAATAAATGATATACAAGCAAAATTTCATTTACAACAAAATAAGTATGTCTTATTTAAATCAATAAAATTTAATGATTAAAACAACTTTTCATTGTTTTTTATTGTAGAATATCGTTTGTCAATGAATTTATTGATCAAATTATTGAACCCTATTTATTGTACATTCAAAAAAATCAGATTTATGATTATTCAGATTGTCGACAATATTCAGCCATTACTCTCGTACAATCGTTTAATACAATTTTATATGCCTTTATTGATGAACATTTAGTTGAAATTCAACAACAAAATGATGATACAACGAAAATAAATGGACTACAACATGTGTTTGCTTACAGTTTTATATGGTCATTTGTTCAAACGATTCATACACGGTAAAATATCTCCATTTCAAAAACAAAAATTCTTTTGATATTTTATGAATATATCTCGAAAAACTAAAATTTTCCATTTTCCACAGACAAGATTTTCGATTATCTTTTCTTGAAAAACAAAAAAAAGTTTGAAAATCGTTTTCCAAGGTAGATTTCTTACAAAATCTGTGAAAAATCAGTTCAATTGACAAAAGTAGAGATAGATTTTTAGTTTGTTTTCAACATAGATTGAAAGTCCACAGTGTTCTCTTTAAAATGACAATTAACTAAGATCTTGATTTTCAGTTGTTTAGAGGTGGCATTCTCTCTCTCTTTCTCTCTCATCGGGCGGAACCCTCAATCATACATGAAACATAGATTATCAAATATATCAAGTAGAGTGACGATATTTGTTTTATAAAAAAAGAGTTTTATAAATCGAATAAAAACTTATTCATATGAAAATTGTCCGTTTTAAATTATTGTCTAGTGGCTGCCTCATCACGAGAATTTTTGAGAACTATTTCCTAATGTATTTTTTTCACGATTAAACTAGATTCAAAAATTTGCAGTATTCTGCTTCCTCCCGCTCTAGAAATCCTATTACCATCGGTACTATCTATATTGAAAAATGAAAACTTCATATCTCAGTCGAAATCCGTGCGAATCATTTGAGACTTTTATGATAAACTCTATATGAAAAGTATAAAACATTTTTATAAACTTCAATGATTTTGAATTTCAAAACAAAAACCTTTAAAGTAAAAAGACGTTTTCTTGACTTGTTTGACAACACGACGATCCCCTGAAAAGTTTACTTTAGAAAAACAAACGCTTTCAAAGGAGTAGGGCGGATAAGACCCTTTTCTGGTCCACTAAATTTTTGACTTTTTTGCATTGGAATCATGTCAGGGGATGCTCAGGAACATTTCCAGAAACTTAGTTTCGCGAAATCGCTCGGTCAGGTTTTTGACGCCTGGGGTGCCCTAGAGGATTCCTGAAAAACTTTGTTTTTGATTTTCTCCAGGCCTACCTGATAATATGTAATCGACCATGCTGATCACGAATATTTGTATTAGAAGTGTCAAAAATGATTTGGTAAGGAGTAATGTTCAGTTTACCTCAATTTTCTGGTTTTCCGCCGAAAAGGGTATTCAAGCCCTCTTCGCCGAGGAAGCACCGAAAACTTAAGATAGATAGTAATTCGGATGCAGAATTTCATGTTGAATCCGAATATAGCATTAGAAAATATATTCAAGCGCAAACTTTCCTGAAAATCGGCAAAACCCGGCGAAAGAAAGCAGGAAAAAGTTGTGGAACAGGTCTAAATCTTTACAATTCCTGTTTTTGCGGGGAATTATAGAGAATACTGCCCGTAATTCTCAATTTTCTCGATCAGAGCTAACCTTTTATGCAGTAAAAGTATCATATTTAGAATCAGGGTCGAAAACCGAGTCGCTGATGTATATTTCGAATGTTTTAGTTCATTTACATTTTTTGGTGAAAATTTCCATGCTTTTTCAGCGTAAAAATTGGAAAAAAATTTTAAAGTACGTAGATACGATAAATACACACATCAGTTGA